TACAGATTCAGAATCTTCTGTGTGATTTAAAACGGGCAATGGTTCATAAAACAGGAAACTTAAATATTAAGGGATCACATATTCGCACGCAACATTTGGATTAAAAATACATATACACACACGTGAGGCGCAGAAGCGCATTCACTGAGCTTAAGCCACTGTCACGTGACCACCTTCACCAAGAGCTACTGCTCTAAAACACTGCCTTTTAAATTACCTTTGGTAATTTTTTTTTCTTAGCATGAAGCCAATTTAAATAGGTCAATATTTCAACATAAGTTTAACAGTATGGACTAAAAACCATCAACTCACGATTCTGGTTACTTTAAAATTTGGTATGCTGTATCTCAAATACATTAGTAACTATTCCTAGATGGAAATAAGCAAATACATGGAATCATTAAAAAAAAAAAAAAAAAAAAAAAAAAAAAAAAAAAAAAAAAAAAAAAAAAAAAAAAAAAGTAAACATTACTAAATGTCCATTTGTACAGACAAAACATTAGCAAACATCTAAAATTTCAGTAAAAAAAATACATGTGTATTTTTAACCCTTTGGTATCCAAACTCTTATATAATTATGAAGACTTTCTTAAACATATTCTTCAGTTAACAACAGGAAGAAACTATTTGTAATAAAGTTTCTACCTAAATAAATTTGGTGCCAAGTTTTCATTTCAAGTTCAACATTACTGACATAGTTTTACACTGCAACTGAACCGCAATTATGTTTGCATACATTAAAAGCAATGATTAAACAATTATTAAACCTATATATTATTCAAACTTTTATGAAAACTAATCAAAACTGTAAATTTGTCAACAACTCTGGAATACTGTCAGTCTTCCACCTGTTCCTGTCTGGCAGCAGAACTTTAATAGCTATCTTAGGAAGTAATTCCTCCATCCTGAAACACAGAACCAGGAAATAGCAGGATCAGACAGGTGTGGTATAGTGACAATCAGGTGAGGGAGGCAAACGCTAGGATGTAAGGATGAATAGAATTCACAGGATCTAAAGTCAGAAAATACTAACTCAGAGTGCTCATCATTTTAATAAATTTCCTATCTGGACTATTATCCCGAAGGGCCTATAAGTGAACAAATGACAAGAAAGCACAAATTTCAAAAATAAATGGTTAATTAAATGAACTGGGGTTACATCTTGTCAAGGGCAAAAGCTGCAAATGAATTTCTACACTAATACTAAACAGGCTCGCCACTCGCATCTGCCCTGATGGAAACTGTGCTTTCTAGACAGGGCTCCACGGGAAGCAAGGAAGGTAGGTCAAAAATGGCCACCAATTATGAACCAAACTAAACCAATTCCATCTTAATTAAGAATTTCTAAAAGTTCAGCAGCATTTTTTTGCAGTACTACAAAATGTCTACTAACATCATATTGTATACTTTTGTTATTACAGCCACTGTGCCTGTTTTCTAAATTAGGCAAGAAAGATTTTTTGAGAGTGAGTCAGTGAATGTGCTCAGATAAGGCTATAGATGCCTCTCTTGCTATCTAATGATCATAGTTAAGTTTCTCTCGGGATCAAAATAATTAAGTTAAAATATACATAGCCCACTTGAAGATATGGTTAACACAGGATAAACAGCTTCTAAAGAACTTCTCTCCTATAGAAAGGTAGGACACTTTGTCACTGAACACTAGCATCCGTATAATTTGGAATTAAAATGGAGTAGCAAATTTGCCTGAGATATAAGACCTTCTGGTTTCACTCTAAATCCAGCTAAATCCCTTTACTTCTACTCAGTGGCATAAAGAAAAGCTATTTTAATATTTGGTTGATATGGAAACATTCTCCACTTTACCTCTCAAGGAAAAAGAGACAAAGAAGCAGCCAAAATTAATTGGTGCCAAAATACTAAAAGTTAAGCTAATCCAAGGCTGAAAATCTGCTATTTACAATTGTTGGTAGTAAAAAAGGTCTTCTTAATTATTAGCAAACAGTAAGCAAGTTTTCAACAGTCTTTCTCCAAAATCACATTAAGACTTAACCTTCTGCTTTTTCAAATGGAAAAGTGACCAATTTTCTGAGTTAGTATATGCCCTTCTTCCAATCAAAAACCCTAAGTGTGAAGCAAGCAGCATTAAAACACTGGTCACAGTGGAAAAACTGAATGACCCCAGAAGCAAGATCAAGGATGATGACAATTCCTAAGTAATGAAAACTCTATACTCAGATCCTTTAAAGTACACAAACATTCTGGTTACAGGACTGAGATTTAACCCAGTGTATTCTAATTTTCAGACGTAAAGAATGGCAAATAACAGTGACCATCATATAAGCCAGAAAAAGAACCTCATATGGAAAAGAAAACTTGGCACCAAAACTCAAGATTTAAAATAAGAGAAGAAAAAGAAAGTCCATTAACATACTCACGTGTGGTGCTAGAAAATTTAATACGATGCACAGCAGCTGAAATGCGTTATCTTATAGATGCAACCTACATTAACAAGTAAGTTATATAACAAACCATTCTAGCCACAGACACTTAATATATTACCCTCCTTATTATCTACCCGATGATCAAAAAAGCACAACAATTTAATACTCTGGCCACTGTATGTAGCAGATATATAAAACACAAAGTAGGAATTAGGAATAAAATCATTAATTTAAAAATACTGAGATGAGGCAGCTTTCAAGCGATTCACAGAAAAAAGGAATTTATATTACCTCCTAAATATAGCAGGTAATAACATAAAGAATCATCTGGCAAATTCTAAACTGGAAAAAGTAAGTAATTTTAAATAAGTAAATTAATTCTGTGCCTCTTGATTTTTTTGGAAAAAAGGAAGGCGTATTATTTGCTAGGACTAAACTTTAATATATAAGCATCATTATAGGGAACAAGTAACATAGACCTAAGTACCATTATTTTGGAGATTCAAACTGTAATGTGTTGGTGGACTAAATGGGGCAAACTATAAAAATGTACAGAACAGATATCAAGAAGCAATTAACAACTTAATTTACTGGCAAAACTGACATTTTATCTAGATGTTGAAACTGAATAACCACACACACAAAAGCAATAAATAATGATTACTTGTGCTCTATCTCCAGGCCAAAGACATAATTTTAAGAATAGCTTTTGGCTAGGTAGCTCATAAATATTTCTTCTAAAAAAAATGTGAAAGCTCAGTCCAGGGAAGTCACCATAGTGCAGGGTCTTGAGGGGGTGGCTCTTATACTGAGAAGGAAAAACAGACTGGCCCTCGAGACCATGCTCAGCCACACCTGGTGGAAAAGAAACACTTGAGAGTTCTGTAACCAAGGACAGAATTGTAAATAAAAGATTCTCATTTTTAAAAAGACATTGACTAAAAAAAGAGGACAGATAGATATTTATTGGCTCAAAGGATTAAGCTATCCATTAAAATGAATAAAACTAATATCTCTGTAATAAAGTGTTCAGGATCAATTAAAGCATTGTTTAGGAAAATAAGTCATTAAATATATCAACTTCTAATTACTCATTATTTCAGTAAATGACAATTAAGTAATCAATTATGTTATATATGACTCTGCATTTTATAATCAAAGCTTCTGTTATTAAAATTAAAGATCGGAGCTTTTAATCTAAATACAGCTAAGAAAACTACATCTATAAATCTGCTTTAAGGCAATTCATTGAGAATCATCTCAATGTTTTAAATTGTACAAAATATATTCACATTATCAATTGTTTTTACATTACCTTATGTCATAACTACATATGAGGTCACAAGGGCCCCTGCAATGTAACAGTTAATACAGGCCATATTTATAACTAAAACACTACATTAGTAAAGGATCCAAACTACTGACTAATCTTGCCAATAATACCTAATGGAACAGAAGCTAAGATACTAAGAGACTAATGACAGCCTCTGGTCATTGGACATGCCTTGCATTAACCTATATGGTTTTGCTGTCCAGGATCTATTTTCAATACTTACTGTAATACAGAGTCAAAACAATGAAATGGAAACCAAAGGGTTAAACTAAGTTAGTTTTGTGGGTTTTATTTCTCTCAAAGTCTAAATTTTCACATTTCCAATTAGAATAAAGTGGTTTATAATTAATTTTTATGAATTATTCATAACACAAGGTAAAACAAAAAAGCTGATATTATCAGTTATTTTGGTTATTACAGCTCTATAGCTTACAATCAACATTTAAGGGTGAAAACCGCATCCATTGTGTTAATGCTGTGAACTGCAGAAGAAAAATTTTTATAATATAAATTTAAGAGAAAGTTAATACAAATAAATTTAATAGCTAAAATAAGTATATAATGACTAGCTAATGATTTGCATACAATATAACATTTCTAAATTAGCACACTTAAACACTAAGATTGTTCCATCAAAACATAAATAAGCTAGTTGATGTAAACTGGGCTAAAACAAGGATATTCTAAAACAGTGCCATCAGTATCAAAAGCTCACACTAAGTTTGAAGTCTTTAATGTACAGACTTAAACTCCTATTTTACAAGGAGCTATAAATCATTAAGTCTTAATAGGCTTTAAAACATAACATTCTCACATCTGGTAAGATGAGGAAATCAAAACTTCGAAAAGCTAATTGTCTTCAAGAAAAAAGCCTGAAAAAAAAATTCTAATCCAATCCAATCCCCTCGTTTAGAAATTAAAACTTGGCAAAGAAAAGTTTGAAGACTTGCCCACGGTGACAACTAGTTAGTGGCAAAGTCAACGATGCCAAGTTCCAAATCAAACTGTTAACTGTTCTTTCTCATGCTCTTTCTCATGACAAGAATTCTGAGGCTCCTGTGAAATTCAGCCCCATTCTGCTAGTGGTCAACTCAATCCACGCAATTTTCCTCACTAACATTAATTAACTAATCTAAAAGGCAAAATTATATTACTAATTTTAAAAATGAAGTTTAAGGACTTCGGCTTGTTCTAAACACTGCCTTAAAATTAAACACCCTTGACTGTGTCTTCAGCTAGGAATAATAAGCAAAGACACTTACTCGACACGAGCCCCACTTGCCACAAGGGCATGGATGCACTCCAGGCTCCCGGAGCGAGCCGCCTTGTGAACGGGAGTTTCACCCTCACAGTCCTGAAACAGCAAAAAGCAACATTCACACATACTCAGATCTAACAAAACCTTTGACTTTTTTAAGTAAAATAATTGGCATAGGCCAGAGACCTTCTCATTCACACTTGAAATAAAATAGTGCGGTGAGCAAAACTTGAAGCAGAATATTCAAAGAAATATATGCATAAAAAGATAAAAGCAGGACAGGGAGGGGGGCACATTCTCCAAAATGTTTAGCTAGAAGTCATTGACCAAAAATCTTAGGGCATCTCCAGTAGTGACAGCTTGAATGCTCTCAATGGTGATTTACAAATCATTTTACACTAGATCTTAGCACAATGTGTTGTATATAAACCCAAAATAATTATCCAACAACAAAATCGCATTAAAATAGTAATCAAGGCCAAAAAATAGCACATAATAGCTGACTTATGATCTAATCTATCCATGTTCCTCTACGTCTACTGCAATGCCAAACTGAGTCAAAATCAGTGTCTACCTTGAATTTTCTATCTTGAACTTGAACCAGGACATCTTAGACAAGATGGTTTGAGGTTAGACAATCAGGCAAAAAGAAGGGAGAACAAAACATAGCAAGCTTTGTTGATCAGATATGTGCTTTAGAAAAGGATGGTGGAGGTGGCATGAAGGACACAACAGAGGCAAAAGGAAGTGAGCAGACTCAGGAAGACCAGCACAGTTGTCCAAAAGAAGATGAAGTGGTTTACGCTGTATGAATGTTAAAAAATGTAAAATGCTGTTTTCATAGGCTATCAGGTAAAGAAGAGTTAAGTAGGGTAAATGTAATCAAATATACAGGCAATCAAAAGAAGGAAGTCATTTCTTTTAGAAAAATTAATTTATAACTTTCTGTCTGGGAAATTCTGAGGGCTAGGCAGCAACAGTTCTTGAATCAATCACACTTAAACGTCACTAGGAGCTGAACCTGGAAGTAGATAAACTCACATAATTAAGGGATAAAGATAAAAAGCAGGAGTGAAACAATTGTGCACCGTACGTGGCACTCAGAAAACAGTTCACTCATAAATTCAGTAAATATCTGAGCTCCTTCACCAATGCATATAAAATCATGGAGGAAACAAAGCAAAAAGAAAGAATGGTGATTATTTTACAGAAAAATAGGATATGAAAGACTCAACTGCTCAGTAGAGGAAAAAGTGTATATACATTTATTTAAACAAGAGTCTAAATAGCTCTAAACAGAATATAAAGAGATATAAAGCTCTAAAATAAAAAGCCTATCTTTTATTTATTTATTTTTTAGTCTTTTTCATGACCGGTAAGGGGATCACAACCCTTGGCTTGGTGTCGCCCACACCGTGCTCAGCCAGATGACCGGTAAGGGGATCACAACCCTTGGCTTGGTGTCGCCCACACCGTGCTCAGCCAGATGACCGGTAAGGGGATCACAACCCTTGGCTTGGTGTCGCCCACACCGTGCTCAGCCAGTGAGCGCACCGAGAAAAAGCCTATCTTTGAAGAAAGAAACACAGAAAATCATACAAGGAACTACCTGGTGAATTCAGATGTTTAAAAAAGCAAAAACCTAGTCCTATCCTCCCAAAAAGCCAGGGAGGGGAGAGAAGAAGTACATAATAAGGATGTAACCATCTAAAACTACCTGTCTTGCAGGGTATAAGCTGAGCAATGGCAGAGAGAGAGGACCATACCCTCCAAATGACCTCAGAGGCTTGAACATTCTCCACCGAGGTGCTGGATCCAGATTAGACCATTCAGAGGAATGGGTTCAGAACTGACCAATCAGTTTTGCCTCATTACCATATTTGGATCAACTTGGAACTAACCAATCCCTTATTGCTTCCTCATATGACCTGATTCAGAGCTAGCCAACCAAGTTTGCTGACAGTTCCTTTAAAAGCCTGTTCAGCTCCAGGATCTGGGAGACAGATTTGAGAGCTGTATCATCTGTCTCCAGGCCAGTCTTACTTTGCTAATGAAGCCTTTCTTCTCACAGAAGCTGGTTATGTGGTATGGGCCTCTGTGTGCATGGGGCAGCAAGCACCCTTGCTCAGTAACAAGGACAAATAAAAACTTTCACTAAAAAACGGCCAGGAAAACCAGAAATAAGATTTAGATGAGGTTTTGCAAAAAATGCTCAAGAATAAATGGTTTTTAAAGCTATACTGGGAACAAGATGAAAAAGGTTTGCTATATATTATTTCAAAAAGATGGTGGGGTATTAATAGGACAGAAAAAAAGCAAAACTACATGGCTCCTGTTTTATGTTCCACAAGGAGAACAATCTTTAAGGGCAGAACAAACACTATTTAAAGAAACGTGCAGCCAAGAGAAAAGATACTTATTGTAAAGAGCCATCCGCATGGTACTCAAATCTCCAGTTCAGACCAGTCACATCTCAAAAGAACCAAAAACTGTGCAGTATGATTCTAGAACTATAGCAAACAGAGTGATAAAGGCAAGTTGGAGAGGTGCCAGAAATCTGAAGACAGGCAAGACACCTTTATTTTTAATAAAGAAAAAATTGATTTCTAATCTAGTTACCAGAAACTAAAGGCAACATCAAATGACAGCAAAATTCTGGAAGAGTATTAAAAAGATGACTCACAAATACTTACCAAGGCTGGGCAATATAGACTCACTAGAAATAAATCACATGAAAACTAACTTCCATTCCCTCTTTGGGGAAACTCAGAATACTGAGGCTGCAGACCGTACCTCTGAGCTTTAGCAGTCTTACGGGCTAACTTGAGATACGGCCAAGAAAGTCTGTATTAACACTGAGGAAAATGAATCTGGAACGGTGAGTAGCTAATATGCCAAAAGATTAACAGACTAGAAGATGGGTTAAAACTAGCACAGTATTAAGAAGAAATGCTGTGTCAGGTTCAAAAAAATTAAATGCACACAAACAACAAAGAATGACAAAGACCTGGATCTGGCTTTTTAACAGTTTATGTGGGAAATGACAAAAACTGCCTACCTCGAGGTGAGTCAACAGTGTGTTGGGGGAACTAACAAAAGTGCTATTGTGACCTCAGAGGTCATGGGGTGCCCATCACAAAAATAGTCGCAGTCCAACCACTACACAACAGAGCAAGAGGACATCTGAGATTCAGAACTAAGCACCATATGCTGGGAGACCACAACAACCTAAGATACTTTACCCAGGAATTCCAAGGTTTAATAACTCCAAACAACACCCTCAGTACACGTGAGGACTTGGGGATGTTTATCCAGGTGAGTATTTTAAATACCTGGAGGGCTGCAAGGAGAAGGAAAGATTTGGGGAGTCCTGCCACGGTAAGCAAAGTACAGCAGTTTCCACGCAGTGCTACCAAGAAACACCTCAGAGGAAGGTGGCAGAGCATACCCTCACTCCCACCACTTTATCTGAAAACACTGAACTGCTATAAAATACTACTAGAAAAGGAAGACTCTGGATTTAAAAAGGTCTGAAAAGCAGTATTAGTCAATTTCTTTAGACCTCTCTAAGTTAGATATGCTATGTAACAATTTAATGAAAATTAACATATAGAATGCTTAAATCTACATTAATACTAAATATTAATTACTGCCATTCACGGAATTATTATCCATATTTTATTGATAAGAAGACTGAGCCACAGACTAAATGACTTGCCCAAGGCCAGAGAGATGAGACAGTGGAACCTGGAATCAAGCCTACAGTGCCCTTTCTACTAGAAGACAGGGAGGGGAGAATGCAGGACATGAAGCGAGTGGACGGAGAGGCAATGCTCAGCACATATGGGTACACAGTAGATCAGTCTTGACTCTCGAATATGAGTGAAAGTAACAAAGTGGCAGAGAAATATATGTACTTAAAGGCACACTTGCATGGAGATGGAAGGAAGAGAAGAGGTATAAAAGTTGTTTCATATCCCAAATTTCAGTTCAGTAACAGAAACACTCCTAAAATCCTGGACAATGTCCTCTACGCTGTTTTCTACTGAAAGTTTCTTAAGGAGATCACGTTGCCCTCTTCTCCCTTCCTTTCCCATTGACCCTTGTTTTAAACCATGACAAAAAACACCGTTTTTCTTTAATTACTTGTTGCTTAGGTGGGTAGCTGAGTTATCTTTAGGAGAGGGACTAGCAATTACGTTATATCTGGCTATAATCAAGGAATGAATGTTGGGAACAACAGAGATAAGCAAAAAGGAGGAAATAAAAGTTCCTATACACACAACACGACCTCAATGACTATTAGCAGAAAAAAAGGTTTAACAACAGGAGAAAGAAAAAAACAGAACATAAAGAATGACTACTGGAGCTTGTGGAACAAATCCCTCAGACTAATGCACCCTCAGACAGGATGCTGAATCTGGGGACTGCTTCAAATCAGACTACCCACTGGATGCTTCTGATGCTTGTCTTATGTAATCAAGTCACTAGTTATCTAAACATTCACGTGTGTGTTTCACTTAGGTAAAAAGATACTGAAAACACACCATGAGAAATGTGGCACACTTACGTACATGTTTGTAAACTTAATCTTAAATTACAAAGTCCTTGAGTCGCTTACTCTTCCTATGTAGTAAATGATTCTTAGCTACTTACCTGCATCTAGTCATCATCCCCAAATAGTATCTGAAGCAACATTAACTCACTTTGGAGCTGACTTAATGGCCCTTCTTTTGTTAGTATGGATATTTTCACAATTATCTGTGGAAACGAAGCTAAGGCCACTGTGAGCAGGGAAGCCAAGAAACCTGGGCTCAAGGCCAGACTCCTTCAATTACCAGCCTTAACCTCAGGCAAATCACCCTAAATCACAGTGAATCACAGGAAATCCCATATTAGGTGAAAGTACTCTATTAAACAGAAAGCATGGCCATCCAAAGGGCCTATTATCTACAAACAGTTGAAGAAACAAATTCGTTTGCCCTCAGGTAAAGCTATCAAAATTCTAATTTAAGGCTTCAGTTTAAAACACATGAGTAATCATAACTGGAAAAAGAAAAAACGAAAGCAAACAAAGTCGGTCACCGGTTCTTACTGGTTTGTCAATGTTGGCTCCTGCTTGAATCAGCCAGACCAGGCACTGAGGATGTCCTCCAAAAGCAGCAATGTGGGCCGGTGTCTGGGCGTAGCGAGTGGTGGAGACGTTGAGTGTGGCTCCAGCTCTCACCAACTGAATCAAGCACTCCAACTGCAAAAGCAGCATGGGAGGGGATGAAAACATGCAGACACGTCAGTATACGGCTAAATACTACACAAATAATCTAAATTCTGTAATGGTGATAAGTGGCATTTTTACCAACTTTTAAAAAGAGAATAAAGTCAGTCCTTCCGGATATGATGCAAACTTTAAAAGGCATTTAAAAGAACATTTTTCCTCGTCCTTATAAGAAAGTTGGTACACAGGAATGGAAAGAAATGCAAAACAGATTAACACCACACACATGTAAATATTTTAGTTTTCTTGTAACTGAAAAACCCAAATCAGAAAAGATCAGTGGGCATTATTCAACGACTTCTATCAAAACTGGTTTTTTTGCACATACTATTCTAAATAATAAAAATGTTAAAGTGATTGGTAGGTTATGAAAATTTGTGTAGCCATAACAAACTCTTCACGGTCAAAGGTTGTTTTCTACAGTGTGCACGATGGTACTCTGCACAGTTGTATACAAATCAGCACTGAACACTCAATTGAGACTCATTCTCCATATTATTTTATTTCTTAGTCTTTTAAAACTATTTGTATAGAAAGAAAATCCTATACAAAAAAGGCCTATAGAACAGCTGAGCTCTGCACCTAGCAGGTAACTAACACGAAGACTGGCAAGTTAAGACAAGACTTTGCAGCCAGGCACTGGTACTATGCTAGCCTCTGGCTAAAAGAATTCATCTCATTCAACAAATTTAGCAAGTGCCTACCATGTGCCAAACACATGTTCAACCAACCTGTTCTCTAATCCTGGATTCATGGATCACAATGCAGTTAGTGAAAAAGCTAGGCAGCAAACAATTCTCAACACTCCCTTCTCACCCCAAGTCTCCTTATCCACCTCTTCTAGCAACTTTTCTCCCCTTGCAAAGAACAGATCACTTCAATAATGCATATGTGAAATGAACTCTTAACAGTTTGTAGTACACATTTAAAACATGGTCTGTCTTAAATGAAGTTGAATCTGGGAGTGGAGGATGATGAGACACAACTTTTGTATATTTTTACTTATTGCCTTTATTCATTTACTGAGTGAAAAATGAAAGCATCAACTAGTGATTAGATGAAAAAGTCTCAAACTCAACAAAAACAAAGATGAAAATTACTTGGTGTGCCAAAGTGGTTAATCCTTAATATCATTTGAGAGCTCCCTAGACAAACCTGTGGCATATGGGTTCAATTTAGAAAACTGTGTTTGGAAATTCTGAAAATACCGTTCAACATGGTATCTTGTAAAAAGCAAGGTGCAATTAGAAATTTTAAATGTTTATTCCTCTGGGAACAAGTAAGCCTCAAACAGTTAGTAGCTTGTGCACCACTGGCACATTTCTAAGAACACATGCCTGAAACCTATATAAAAGGAAGCAACTGTTGGCAAGGTGGGGGATGAAAAGCTGGGGCCCTGTAACCCAGAGTCCTGGCTAAATTTCTGCCATAATATAGCTTTTTCTCACAGATGGGAATGAGTGGACACTAGATAGGGGCTTTTTAAGGACCCCTTCATATCTAACACCTAGTCCTAATGACTAAAAACAGTTGAAAATAAACTGCCTCTAGTTACAACACCAGGTCTCCAGGGTAAATCTACTGCTAAAGCTCTCCTAAAGTAGAGACACTATTAAGAGTGATTTTTTTTTAATTGTGGCAAAATACAGGTAACATAAAGCTTACCATTTAAAATACCATTAGGCATTTTAAAGCAGATATGGCTATTTTTATCCCCAGAAATAACTGGAGGCATCATTGTGTTGATAAGTATTCTAAGTGACCATGAGTCATCCAAGGCCTTAAGCACGGTAGACTGTAGACCGGCTGTCAGACAATACTGTGTTATTCTTAATCAGGGCAGGGAGGACGGAATCAACAGGGGAGCCTTGGGCCAACCCCGTGGCGCACTCGGGAGAGTGCGGCGCTGGGAGGGCATCGGCGCTCCCGCCGCGGGTTCGGATCCCACTGGCTGAGCGCGGTGCGGGCGACACCAAGCTAAGGGTTGCGATCCCCTTACAGGTCACCAAAAAAAAAAAAAAAAAAAAAGGAACAGGGGAGCCTTTAAGAAAAAGGCAGTCCAGAGCTTTGAGGTTCATGGGGCTGGCTGGTTAGCTCACTTTGTTAGAGCATGGTGCTAATAACTCTAAGGTCAGAGCTTTGAGGTTCCTGGTGTTTAATGTAAAAATAGACCAGAGCAGGAGGCGCCCTGCAGGGAGATGAGACTCTGACCCCTCACAGGCGCCGCCCAGGCCCCTCTCCTGCCTCATCCCGGGTCCTCGACTTTCCCGTTTTACGAGGAAACGACACAACGGAGCTGCGAGCCAGCCCGAGGGACGGCCAGGGAACCGCGGCTTCGGCCGGAGTGAGGATGTCGGGACGCTCGGGTCTTCTTGAGACAACTTATGTCACATCGTCCCCATGTGTTTCCGCAAGACTTCTGCACGCCAGCCTCGCCGTTTATGAGAGAAAACACTGATCATGAAGGCGCCTGAGTGTCATCGCCGAAGTGGCATCTGAGAGGGACAGTGCGTCTCAGCCTCAGCCCCCTGAGCCGAGACGAGGACAGCCGAACCTGTTCAAAGTGCGTCCGTCACCCTGACGCTGTACGGGCAGGGGACGCGCCCTCCCCATGGAGGTCGCTACCCGGCCGCGCCGGGGACCCCGCGCGCACGTCCGGCGACGCGGCCTTCCACAGCCGAAACCACCCCGGACGCGGCCCGCCGGCGGGCAGAGCGCGGAGGCGGAAAGGCTCCCCGCCCTCAGTCCGG